GCACAAGACCATTCTGACGTATAGATGCAATGAAAATTAGAAATGGGCTGAATAATCTTGCTTTTTACAAAGTATCAAAATACCAAGTGAAGTGTTCGTTGCTATGCAACAAATGGCTAAAATTCAGCAGCAAGGTTTTCCTTTATTTTAAGGTTCTTAGAGTTGCTTTTTTAAGATGATGGTTCACCAATCCTATTCCTTGGGGGTGCCTATCCTGTTCGTTTTGTCTGCTTGCTGCTACACTGCAAACTTAAATGAATATGTGTTAAACATGCTTCATATGTGGCGGAACAGAAACGTATCCAAAACACGCCAGCACAGGCAACCACTTTCCCTCACCCAGACTACATTCTAATATTTCTCTTAAAATAAACTTTGTCAATGGTTTTTTGTTATCAGCTGGCTTTTCTTGGTCAGAAAAAAATAAATAAAGGGAACCTCTTACACAATTTAGTTTTGTTTGTTTTTTTGCAAATTTTTAAATCAGTGACATGGACCGCTCCCACACTGGATCCCCCTCCAACAATTAAACCCCCAGGTGACCTCCATGGCCCATTCAGTAGGAGGAATCAGAGCAAAAATTATAATTTACTTTCAAAGTGTATTCATATCAGTCAAAATAGCTAGATTGTCCTAATTTTATATTAATTACTTTGACCTCAACGAGATCACACTTCAAATATTGAGTCACAGCACCATCTGGTGGTTCTTTTTAGCACTATTTCAGGAAACAAGATGGTTCAATAAGTTTGAACTAGTTCAGGCAAATCAATGACTCAAAATGTTTTCAGGATTTTGGTTGATCAGGTAATTAAAGGATTAAAATATTTTCTTACAGTAGTGTCAAGTATTTCAGCATATTTTGGATTTGGTGAAAAATCTTTAACTGTGTTTAACAACAACATTATTCTTTCCTTGCAATGTATGCGGGAGGAGGTAGCAGCCACGCATAAACTCTAAGCATACAGCATCATTACAGTACAGTTCAGGTCTACTGACCTCCGTCACATAACTTTAATCTCTTTCCTTCCATTTCCTCTTGTTAGGTTTATTCAATGATGATTATTAAAGTAATGTGTGTTCATATGAAACATTGTAGAAATTAGATGCTCCACTCCTGTCTCATGATTCAGTCAGGAGACCATCCTGCCTTGTGATTCAGTCAAGAGGGGAGCATCCTGTCTTTATGAACTGTTCTATCAGAACAATACTCTGTTTGTAACCATGTGTCATGTTCTGTTAATAAAACGCTCTGCGGAGGAGGTCCGGTGTGAGACAGTGTGTTTGAGTCTGGGGTTCAACTGTCTCTCCTTCTGCAGAAGCTGTATGTAAATCCCTTACTGTGTATTTCAGTTCTTCTTTTACAAACCTACATTTTTGAACCCAACACCTCTCTCTTGTACGGAAGACGATTAGGGCCACTGAAAAAATTAAAAAAGTTAACTGATTTTTAAATTTTATTTCTGTATAATATAAGAAAAAAGTCAGAATTCTACTTTAATCTCGGAAGTCTGACTTTTTTCTCATCATAAAATAGAAATAATATGAAGAAAAACTGATACTATTTATACAATTATATTGAGCTGTTTGAAATTGACACCCAACCCACATAAAAAAGGCTCCAAATAGATGGAATAGTTTTGCTTCTTTAGTGAAAGTCTGGGCAGTTAAAATGATCACTTGAGCTTATTTTACTTAATAAATTTACTTTACATAATAAAGAGGTTTATTTCACAGTCTCAAACATCTTGAGGAAATTGTGTAGATACGAATCTCCCAAACACTAGGATGTTTATATAATAGATATTATGTTGTAAAACTTACAACATGAATATTAAGTTAGCCTTTAATAAGACACAGCTGCAGTACACAAGTTAAATAAGAAAGAAACTATGAGCATAACAAATAATACCTATAATTAAATAAAAACAAAAAAACAAGAAACCAATAAATAAAATCAATCAAAGGAAAGCATAAGAAATTAAAAATAGACTTCCCTGACTTTTGTGACTAAACATTTCTTAATTTACCATTGATGTGATGCTTTTGATTTTGTAATTATATTTACAGAATGACAATAGTCAATAAAAGTATTAGATGAAGTGTGCCCATGGCGACGCTAGAAGCACTACTTGTGGTTGATGCAGTGGTGGCTGACTGGGATGCTGTGGATGATGTAGGTGATTTGGTTGTGGTTGCTGGTGCCACAGTTGTGGTAGTTGCTGGTGCCACTGCTGTGGTGGTTGCTGGTGCCACGGTTGCTGTAGTTGCTGCAACAGTTGTGGTCATGTGTGCCGAAGTTGTAGTTGTTTGTTCAGCAGTAATGGTAGTTGGTGGCACTGCTGTAGTTGTTGATGCTGCAGTTGTAGTGGGTGGTGCAACAGTTGTGGTAGTTGATGACAGTGTGGTAGTTGTTGGTGCAGCAGCAGTTGTGGTTGGTGCTGCAGTTGTGGTGGTTGGTGCTGCAGTTGTGGTGGTTGGTGCCACTGTTGTAGTTGTTGGTGCTGCAGTTGTAGTGGTTGGTGCCACTGTTGTAGTTGTTGGTGTTGCAGTTGTGGTGGTTGGTGCTGCAGTTGTAGTGGTTGGTGCCACTGTTGTAGTTGTTGCAGTTGTGGTGGTTGGTGCTGCTGTTGTGATGGTTGGTGCTGCGGTGGTGGTGGTTGGTGCCACTGTTGTAGTGGTTGGCGCTGCGGTTGTGGTGGTTGGTGCAGCAATTGTTGTAATTGGTGCTGCGGTTGTGGTGGTTGGTGCCACTGTTGTAGTTGTTGGTGTTGCAGTTGTGGTGGTTGGTGCTGCAGTTGTGGTGGTTGGTGTCACTGTTGTAGTTGTTGGTGTTGCAGTTGTGGCGGTTGGTGCTGCTGTTGTGATGGTTGGTGCTGCGGTGGTGGTGGTTGGTGTCACTGTTGTAGTGGTTGGCGCTGCAGTTGTGGTGGTTGGTGCCACTGTTGTAGTGGTTGGCGCTGCAGTTGTGGTGGTTGGTGCCACTGTTGTAGTGGTTGGCGCTGCAGTTGTGGTGGTTGGTGCAGCAGTTGTTGTAATTGGTGCTGCTGTTGTGGTGGTTGGTGCAGCGGTTGTGGTGGTTGGTGCCACTGTTGTAGTGGTTGGCGCTGCAGTTGTGGTGGTTGGTGCAGCAGTTGTTGTAATTGGTGCTGCTGTTGTGGTGGTTGGTGCTGCGGTTGTGGTGGTTGGTGCCACTGTTGTAGTGGTTGGCGCTGCAGTTGTGGTGGTTGGTGCAGCAGTTGTTGTAATTGGTGCTGCTGTTGTGGTGGTTGGTGCAGCGGTTGTGGTGGTTGGTGCAGCAGTTGTAGTTGTTGGTGCCATGGTTGTGGTAGTTGGTGTCACTGTTGTAGTTGTTGGGGTAGCAGTTGTAGTTGTTGTTCTTGGATCATTGCACAAACTTGTTGTACAGCAGGTTGGTCCAGTAGTTATTGAACCAACATTCTCCATGAATGGCAAACTACCCAGACTTGAAGCAGCTGCACATGTGTTTGGACTAATACATCCCAGCGCTTGAATTGTGTTTGTTCCATCGTTTACTGTTAATATTTAAAAGAAAGTTGAGTAAGTCCAATTTATTTCCAAAGAACAATCAATCCAAGTATTCAAACAACAGAAGACTGCTCTTTGTGCTTTCTTCAGCTTCTAACATTAGCTTTTGAATCATTCCAGCTCTAAAGTATTTTTTTAGAATTACAATATTTCATCCAAACTATCACAAATGTAAACTTACAAGTTGCTGTCACACAGTTGCTCTCCTCTCCTGAACATGGGATGGGAGTGGTGCACTGAGATGTGGCGGGGTTACAAACAACACACTGAAGGGAGTTGAGTAGCGGTGTAGGTGGCGCTGAAATGGAAACCGCAGATGAAAGAGAAACTTGTTAAACACACATAACACAAAGAGAATGTCAGTATTATTAAAACTCCGGATGAAACCTACAAGATAGAGTTTGTGAATTGCAGTTGTCAGTGTTGCAGCACTCAGCAGATGCAATTGCACTTTGGTAACCCAGGTTGACTGAAAACGTCTGAGAGCCTGTGCTTGGACACAGAGAGGATGGTGCGCAGGCTTTGTAGATTTGTGTTCCTGTAACTCCAGACTGAGTTCCTGCAAAGCCAATGGGATATTTATTGTTTTATTTGAAAGAATAGACAGTCTGAAAATGACGCAGAAGTTCCAATTATAAAAAATAGTAAGGCATAAACACACCAATACCTTTAATGATAGCTGTTATGCACATCGTCTCTGAGCTACATGTTAGTGGTGCTGTGGTTGAACATGCCTGATCAGTACAGGTGATGCACTGCAGAGCCCCAGCTGCAAACAGTGGAAAAGTAGTAATTAAAGAATTGTTTAAAAACCTGAGAATAAATAGTCAAAAATATGTTAAATCAAACTATAGTTGGGAAATAGCTAATTTAAAAAGTAAGATTTCTCTTACTTAAGGCTTAAGGCATTGTCGAGAATAAGAAGAGATAACAATACTGCATTATGAGAAAGAGAAATCAAAGTTTTTTTTTTGTCATAAAAATGATCATTAATAACTATTGTATCAAATGGAACACCATGACGTGATTTTGATATATAAAAAAAAAACAAAAAACTTTTGGGACACATTTAGGGATCAGTTGCAATGTTCATTATAATTGTGATCCGTCCGTCCGTCTTTCGATCACATATGTGTATAAATGTATATAATATATATATATATATATATATATATATATATATATATATATATATATATATATATATATATATATATATATATATATATATATATATATATATATATGTGTATATACATATATATAAAAAAAACCTGTCTCTGTTTTCATATGATTTTTCATATAATTCTCTTTTGAAAAAGAGTCACGGAAAAAAAAAAACGTTTTGAAAGCTCTAAAATTAAAATAATTACAAAATACTCCCTCTTTGCTCTAGTGTGGTAGTTTTCTATTGAAAATTTTAAAAGTACATGCATAATTATTATTGTTACCTTTGCTGTAGAGAGCCCAGATGACAGTCAGAAAAAAGATCAGCTTCATAGTGATGTTCAGATGAATCCTGTTTGTTAGGTCTCCTGGTTTTGATACTAAAACTCAGGAGTCCTGCTATACTTTATATACTCCTCCTTTGACATCATATAACAGGTGTGTTCCCATGTTTACAGCGTCAAAGATCAGGGAACGATGTCACAGAATCGAAAAACAAGTTAACACACCCTTAACTCACCTATTTATGCATACCAGAGTATGAAAAGAGAATAAAAGGTAATTAAAACCAAACATGTGATTAACATCATAAAACACAGTTCTGCAAAATAGGGATTGAGGAAAGACGCTTCTCAGTTTTGACCTCACTGTTGCAGATGTCAGGTCTTAAGTGTTTTGTTTTGTTTTTTTTAAACAACTATATAGACTATTTATTAGAATCTCTTCCCCCATTATCACAAAATTATAAAGGATTCTACCCTTTGGTCCTTACGCATTGGATGTAGTTGAATTGAGCAGCTTGTTGAACCATGGCATCACCCTTCATTACAAAGCCTGTAGACACTCCCATCTCTGTTTCATAGAAACACAAAAAAACACAGATGAAGTAGAATACATACCAAACAATTCATACCTTAAATCAAGTCATTTTCCTTTTTATTTTTCAGAGGAGCACTAAATGTGACTAAGGTAAAACTGTACTTGCTTACAGTTGCATCAGGTCTGGTACCTGAAGCAGATTTTCACTTTTAGTACATTGCTGCGCAGTCCACTAAGCACAAAGAAGGTTGCCTATTACCCATATTTAAAAGCACTATTTCTCCTACTGCTAACATAGGGTGACCATATTTTCATTTGGGAAAACCAGGACAACTTGGAGTGCGGGGGCGGGGTGGGTGGGTGGGGGGGGGGGGGGGGGGGTGGTGGTTGATTGAAAAGAACAAATGTCTCATCATCGGGATTTGCTCCGTGATCAGAGGAAATGTTACTTGGCGCAGAACAGTGGTAAAAATTGGAAGTTCAGTTTAATATAATACAACTCTGTGAATAGTTCCGTCTGAAATGAGTGAAAATAGTTGTTTTAATGGTTATTGAGTCAGATATGTGGCGGTAATGTTTGATTTATCTAAAGGTTTTTATCTGTTACTGTGTAAATGGGTTTGGCTGTAATTTAAGGACAGATTCTAATATATCTGCAGAGTGGGAACTATAAATCTGATAGGAGTTTAATTTTTTTATTGTTGTTTTGCACAATATGCTTAACTAAGTATTTTTTGTTGTTGAATATTAGAGATTTTGGAGATATATTTTGTAGATACATTGTTTAGATTTACTTATATATTTCTAACCCTTTTTTAGAATAGAACAGAAAATCCCTTCATTGTCCCACAATGGGCACATTTACAGCAGCAGAAAGATTATTGAAAATGGTCACACAAATGTGGACCTTAGAAAAAATGTATAAGAATAACATAATAGGGAAGAGTTAAAATATAAAAAATAAAATTCTTTAAAGTGCTTTAACAATATAACACTGGAGAATTAATAACCAATATGCAGCTATGGACATCAGAGATGTGCAAAATGACAGCAGCAGGTTATTTAACCGACTAAGGTTTCTATCATTACATTTGATTTTATTTGTTCCTGCTCCCGGTGGTTGGAATCTTTATTCCACTCTGGATTCTTGTGAGTGTAGTCTTTGTTCACTTTAACTTAAAAAAAAATAAATAAATAAACAAACAGTTTTGAAAACCTCGGTATTCATTCTTTTCCTGCTTTGTGTGTCAACTTTCACGGTTGCTAAGCAACAGAGCATACGGCAGTAAAACCCGCCGAAGGGTGGACCTGTTCGAATTAGGATCCAGTCTAGGTAGACCGCGTCCTTGGAGGATGCGTCCCAGGTTTTCGAACAGAGCCTCTGATTAAGAACAGGGCTGCCCGCACTGACGCGGCTCAGGGATTACGTCACACGGAGCGTCGTGCGTAGTGAAATCAGGACATTTCCTCACTTTCTAAAAAAAACCCGGGACACCCGGGACAGGACGTGAAATACGGATATGTCCCGGGAAATACGGACGTTTGGTCACCCTAGCTAACATGACCAGTATCCGAGTGTTGGCACAAAAAGCAGCACAGGAGGATCTCATTGTTCACCAGATGGATGTAAAAACGGCCTATTTGCATGCACCGATTGAATTAGAGATCTATATGGAACAGCCACAGGGTTATGAAGTTAAAGCTAAAGGAAATGACAGACTGGTTTGTAAATTGGAGAAATCCCTGTATGGAGTTAAACAATCAGGACCCAACTGGAACAAAATGTTGCATGACTATCTATATGAGAATGACTTTGTACAAAATCCAGCTGATCATTGTGTGTACAGTAAAATTACAGATGATCAGGAAGTGTACATAATAATTTGGGTTGATGATTTGATTATTGCAACAAACGATGACATGATTATGAAAAATGTAAAAGATATGCTAAGCTCTCACTTTAGAATGAAAGACCTTGGACGTTTAACTCATTTCTTAGGAATTTGAACAAAACAAAGACTGTGTTAAAATGTTTAAATGTACATATTTGTCAACAATACTGGAGAGGTTTGACATGCAAAACTGTAAAGCTAGGTCTACACCGTGTGAACAGAGACTAGATTACAGTGAGGATGCTGAAACATTGGAGGATGTGAAAAAATACAGAGAAATTGTTGGTAGTCTGATCTTTCTAGCTATTTGTACAAGACCAGACTTGTGTTTTGTAGTCAGTAAATTGTCACAGTATTTTACAACACCAACTACTGAGCAGTGGACTACTGTTAAACACACTCTAAGGTACTTAAATGGGATTGAAAACAAAGTACTGAGCTTTCAGAAGTACACAGATAATGGCATCATATATGCATACAGTGATGAAAATTGGACAGCTAATGTGAGTGACCGAAGAAGTACATCAGGTTATTGCATCAGTCTATCCAAAGATGGTCCACCAGTCTCATGGAAATCAAAAAGACAGCCCACTGTAGCTTTGTCAACTTGTGAGGCTGAGTATGTGGCTTTGGCTGCAACCACACAAGAGTGCATTTACTTGCAGCAGCTCTTAAAATCATTTGATGGTCGAGAATACAGATGCAAAATCTATGAGGACAACCAGGGAGCTATAGCATTAGCTAAAAGTACTGTACAGAGACAAAGATGCAAACATGTGGACATTAAATACCATTTTGTGAGGTGCATTTTAAATTCAGGCAGGGTTACCCTGGAGTACTGTCCAACAGATCAGATGGTTGCTGATGTAATGACCAAACCAGCAACCAAATCAAAATTGTCAATGTTTAATGGTTTTCTTTTTGGTAAAGTATGAAATGACTGTACAGAATGTCTTATGAACAATGTAAAGTTTTGGGTGTATAAGGCTGAATTTCTGTTATTGACAATGTTATGAAATGTGAGCAAATGGGGGTGTTGAGCTGTGCTCTCAATATTGTTTATTCTTAATTGTTTCTGTGGTAAAGATGACGTCACAATTACATGCTCACGTGACAAGATGATCAATGGCCTACACCTGTGTGGAAATAAATGAGTGTGCCGTGAAGGGTGGTCACACGAAAAGGAATTTCAGCTTGAGTGTGTCTTAAATGGCTAGGTGAAAAGCTGTGTAAGAGACTGTGCTAACAATTTTGAGTTTTTCCTTGCCCCTGTCTGCTCTGTTTGTCTGATCTGATCCTGGATTCTACCAGCTTCTAAACCTGGACCTGTCTTCTGACTTCGGCCTTGGATTTCCCTTCTGGACTTGGTTGTTGCTCGGCGTCGGCTGGTGCCCTCTCCGCTTGCTCTCTAGGAACTCTGGGGGCGTCGCTCGTCTGGATTCAGCTGTGTTCTCCGCGAAAGGACTGAACTTTGAATCAGGTTAGTGACTTTGCTCCAAGTCGTATTCAGCTCCACATCCAGCCACTGACCTGTCTTCTGACTTCGGCCTTGGATTTCCCTTCTGGACTTGGTTGTTGCTCGGCGTCGGCTGGTGCCCTCTCCGCTCGCTCTCTAGGAACTCTGGGGGCATCGCTCGTCTGGATTCAGCTGTGTTCTCCACGAACGGACTAAACTTTGAATCAGGTTAGTGACTTTGCTCCAAGTCGTATTCAGCTCCACATCCAGCCACTGACCTGTATTCTCCTACCCCTGCAGAGATCCATCCCACAGCAGACGAGCAGCCCCGCACTCCTGTCAGTTTAAATAAACGCTTTGAATTTTCCTATTGTCTGTCTCGCCTCGAATTCTGGGTCCAACATTGTGAGATCATTACAAAACTGTGTGAGATGTGGATTTTAGTCTGTGATACATTATTTGAAATTACTTTTATTTTTATTTTATCATAGATTTTTAGTTCTGATTTAATCTAGTCATTTATGCTTGTATGGTTTTTTTAGTCTGTTTAATGGTGTGATGTTGTTTCACTGTATAGCACTTTGGTCCTTTGAGAAATTTTAAAATGCTTTATAAATAAAATTGGATTGGCATCAAGTCAGTCAGAACATATTCAAACCATCTAATCAAGGTCCAGTGCTTGCGACTATCTCAGCCCCTCTCTGTGGCTGCCCTTAGCCGACACATTAATTTTATTTCTCTCTCCTGATATTCCGCACCTGCAGGAAAAATAAAGAGTGAGTACACATCTTGAAAAAAAAATTCATTGAAGGATGAGACTTTGCCAGCCTGTCCTGGAGGACAAATAGTAACACTTAAGGATCATTACAGAAACAGCCTGAAAAAAGAGCATATTTAAACAAAACAAGCTTGCATATTTAAACAAAACAACCATGATTTTCCTGAACTGGGCCTTTGAATTATCATACCAACTTCTTTGTCACTATCTACAAGCAGGGCAAAAGTAAATTACCTCTCAGGTTTGTCACCAAGTAAGGCAATTGGACAGCTCATCAATTAGTCTATAGTGAATCATGGCATTCATGAAAATTAGTAGACTTTAGTCCATAATCTGGGTTTCACTAACACCTGTTAGTGAAACCTGGGGACGCAGTCATGTGTCATCATGGTGAACAGCAGGGGGCTCAGGACGCAGCC